GAAAAATACCTTTGTTCTTTCAAATGCGTACAGGAGAGTTAAGAGTGAAGTTACTAAGGACATGTAAAATACACTCGTACACAGCTGGTTGCGGTAATTTGGTACAGCTTTTATGGCAGACAATTTGGGAGAGGCCTTAGAAATATTTTTACATTTTATCCACTAATTTTACTTCTGAAAATCCATGCTTTGACAAGCTGATATGGGTAGGATATTTCTTATAACTTGATTTATGAAAAGGATACCTGGAAATCTTGACATATAATTATAATGTAATGAACAAATTAGTTTATAGCCACAGGATGGAAGAGTGTATAGTCATCAAAATTGTGTTTTTAAATAAGTATTTCATGTCATAAAAATTGATCATAATATGGTTTTGAGTGATACTAGCATGAAATAAAACTTTAGAATTTCAGTTAAATGAAAATAGTATATATAGATAAGTAAGTATGAACAATGGACAAGTTTTATTTTCTTTTATGATTTTTGCTTTTTCATTTTTTGTATAATGAATTTTTTTGTAATATGAATATAACATTATTTTATATTAAAATATATTTAAAGAAAAGAAAACAGAGGATAATTTCTTCTTCTTGTAGTGAATTATTTCCTTGGAGAATGTTAATTTAACTCTTTGGCTTCTCAGTTAGTTATGTTTAAATGTCTCTTTTCTCTAAGGTTTTGTAGCATTATGAATATCATAATAGCTGAAAATGTTAGAAAAATAAATCCAATGAGAGAAAGACCAAATGCTGACTCTATATATCTAGCTCAGGCCCTCTTCAGACAGGTAGGTAGGCAGATAGGTTGATAGGCAGACAGACAGACAGACATTTAGATAAGCAGGCAGACAGACTGACAGGTATATCAGTAGAGATAGCAGAACTAGCATTTCAAGTAAGATGACTTCCCATTAGCAAACAGTAATGATATATATATATATATATATATATATATATATATATATATACTTATCAGTGAATCCTTTTGTCTTTATCAACAAGAGGGAATACATTCATTGGAACTAAAATTTCAACAACAAACTTCCAACAAAATTTTGACTCTTCAATGATAGAGGAAATTGATAAATTGGAATTTAAATAATTTTCAGCAGTAGTATTTATATTCTTAAAATACAGAGAATAAGAACACATCAAATGGGGCCAGATGTTATATTTTATTCCTGGTTGATGCTCATTCAGGAGTGTGGCTTAATAGCTAGACCTCAAAAGTTTTTGCTACTTATTTGTTCAGAAGATGTCAGCAAATCACAGGCCTTTATGAGCTACTTTTGCCTTATCTGTAAAGTGAATATTGGACTCAGAGTAATGAGTTTTTGATCTGTGATTAACTGGTGGCTCTGGAGAAGCAGGCACTGTAGAGTTTTGGTGGAAAGACCTGGTGAACTTGCCTAGTACTGGTCAGATAACTGTGGTTAGTGACTGTTTGGATTTATGTCTGGGGATCCTGTGGATCTTGGTCTGGAGCTCAGACTGCCTAGTAGAGTTTCTTGTGGCATGATTCAGCTTGTGTCTGTTTTATGTATCAGGCATAAGGTAAGTTGTCACTGACACACTAAAGAATTATTTTACCAATGAAAGTAAAATTCGGAATCCCTGGTAACCATTTATCTTACTATCTTTGTCTATTTTAAAGCCATAGAATAATGAATCACAATACTTCCTACTGTTATTTGACTTCTATGTATTTCTAAGGTCTTGATAGAGCTGTGTTGAAATTCTGCATTGCAGCAGCAGGGGTAGTCTGTGCTTTGGCAGGTGAATGAGAGAGGACTAGGAGAGAAAAGAATGATAGGGCGTGAGAGTCAGGAGGGTGGCATGTGGGAGGACATGGCAGATTCAGAGAGGAGGGACATGTGTGGCTGGAAAGTGGTGTTGTGGGAAGGAAGCAACGACTCTACCAAAAAGGTCTGCATGTGTTTGGTGAGAATTTTGGCTTAATGGGTAGGAAAGCAAATCCTCAGATGTTTAAAAAAAATAGAGGTAACACGATTGTATTTATTGTTACTAAGAGTTCTGTAGTCATTCTGTTGAGATTAGACTTTCAGAGACTGAGAGATATCTGTGAGGGTACCCCTGGATCTTGGTTCTAATGAACATCACATAAAAAGTTTTTATTTTCATTTAAGAACTGGTTTGCAGAGTTCTGCAAAATGGGTCCTTCATATAGTTCCATAACTCTTTCAAAGGGAAAATTTATTGCTTGTTTTAATGAATAATCTACTTTGTTAATATCTTCATGTAAAAAAAGGGAGAAATAATCAACTCTAGAGACAAACAGAAGTCATCTTTAACCTTCATATTTTCCTCTGCAATCATGTAATTTTATTTGTTGGTAATTTCAAGAGACCCATTAGAGAGATAACCTAGATACAAGAAATTGCATATAACACTCAAGGCAGAGAACACTGAAATTGGGACCAGTGAGCTAAGTGTGAGATGTATCATTACATAATAATTTTACTCTGTCACTGAAATCTAGATTTTGCCTTGCCTATGCTTTGTCTAGAGATGGAAGGAGCTTGCCAGTTTATGTAATTCTGGTGAGTTTACTTTAACTTAGTTTTGATTTTTTACTTTGTGGAACTTGGACATACATCTGTGCCTTCAATCAAAATAAAAAATGAGCCAGTGTCACAGTGGAATGAAACAAAAATGAGAAGATGCATTGCAATATAATAGAAATCTTACGATGTGGCTCTAAAAGATGTATTGTAAACATTGAAACAGCTTGTGTGCAATCCAGATTGTGAAAGAAATAAAAGAACAGAATCTGACTATTGCTGAAATGAATATACAGTGATGGAGTCCTTTATGGTAAATAGATAGAATCAGTGCAGTTTATTTTCTCACTAAGTCATTTAGTGTAATGTTTATATATCCATGTATTTATAAATTTTTTCTTCCCTAGCTCTAATTTAAGCTTATGAAACATATTAATATTAACCAGTGGCTGGAATATCATCAGATTCATGTGAAGACATTTAAAAATTCTATCTAGAAACCTATCTTACAGTTCAAATGCAGACTTTAGGTGGAAAGAAAAGTGAAAAAATGCTTTTTGTAACAAACTAAAGGAACCGTAAAGTGTAGGAATACACACGTTTAGAAAATAACATTTCCTCAGCTTTTGCTGTGTGCAGCTAACCTGGGCTAACCTCATGCTCTGTTCCTTAATTTTATTAGTGAGCTTCTAATAGCAGGACTTCATTATCCTCACTCACAAATGAGAGGTTAGGTAACCTGTCTTAGGCTATCGAGGTAGGAAGTGATAGATATGGGCACAGATTTATTCCTTTTAAGGCTGATCTTATGTTCTCGTCATCAGTAAACAGTCACAGGCAGCACGTGCTTCCGTGTCACCTGACCACTCATCTAACAGCACGTTTTCCACTTTACAGTAACTGTCTCAGTATTTATCTAATTCTTGTACTCATGGTTGCTCCTTTAGGCCTTATTTGTCCTTCTGCTTTCAGAGTTAATGCAACAGTCAGACCCATAGTAGAAGCTCTGTAAGTTCCTGTTGAATGAATAATATTGTCTAAATTCACTAAAAGTTAATATATTAAAGGAAACATTACATTATTATGAAAACTAAATGACATGGGGAAAAAAGGCTCCAATTACTTTTGAAACTAGTAAGGTATTCCTTTCCTAATAAACGAAATATTGCAGAAAGTTAGGTAAGCTGATTTCTGCTGCTTGTAGGCATTTGAGAGTTTATGAGAAAAATCAAGGATCATTGTAATAACTAATATGTACACTATTAAGAAAAGTTAAGTGACTCTGAAAGCAGAATGCAGTTGTGCTTTATGGTGGGATCATCTTGTAATGAAATGATCCGTGTTTCATTGATGGCCTTCAAAAACAAAGTCAAGAGATAGTTCAAGCTGTAGGTATTTTTTTTAAAGATCAAAGAAAATTAGTACAGGAAAAGGACTTTTTAATATTAAAGTATTTTGCATATAATATAGTGAGAGAAGTCAGTTTATCTTCAACTTTGAAAGGTTGAAATCCTATCAAAGCCAAACATAAAGAGCAGTTCATTGAGAGGGTCATGGAAATATTCTAAACGAGCTTGCACGTGTATCTCTGAAGCAGGTGCTGAGTTCTGTAATAATATTATTTCAAAGGTGTTCTGGTACAGTGATGATAATGTCCATTTTAGTATAGGTATTGAAATGCCTTGTCAGAAAGCTACAGCCAACAACAGCTCTCTATACCTTGCCTTATAGCTTGGCTCTATGATTTGATCATCTCCTCATGAGCAACGAGAGTGTCTTTCATCACTCTTGAGGTGTCAAAGACAAAAAGGAACAAGGACTTCAGCGCTAAGTGATATGTCCACCCTGCTGGCACTAACATTTCCAGTTACCTATTACCTAAGCCTTACAGAGGACTCATGAAAACTTTTTCCCTTTGCCAAACATAAACTTGTTTGGAATGGGAAAATATTACAGACAGAAGAAAATGCACCCACAGTGCTGTTTTTATCCATGATATGGAGTTGCCAGTATCCGTGGTGTGAGTTGTTGATTTTATTCTCCTGAAGCTGGTTAATGAGACTGTACCTTCAGTGTGGACAGAAGTCCATAAGCCTAAATTTTGATTTAGTTATGAAACAATGCTAAAATACCACTTAAACAAAAAATGAATGCTAATGCCCTAACTTAGTTGACCCCAGGAAAAATATTAACTTTCTGAGACTCTTCGTGACTACCTGAAGACTGTGTGCTTCCCTGGAAAGACTTAGTTTCCACTCAGGCATTTACCACCTGGTGTATATCATAATGGTTCCTACTCCCATCCTCCTATCTCACTAGATTGTTAGCTGCCTGAGAGCAGCTTGTACCTTGTACCAGTGTAGTAGAAAGCCAGTATAATCATAAACGATAAATCCAGATTTATTTATTTACTCATTTCTAAAATGGTCCCATTCTTTTCTCCTCTCATGTATCTATCTCTCACTTTCTTTAGGTCCTCTCCATCTGTCCCAAGGATATGAGAGCGGATATCTGTGTTCATCTAAACAGGAAGGTGTTTAATGAACATCCTGCTTTTCGACTGGCCAGTGACGGGTGTCTGCGAGCCTTGGCGGTAGAGTTCCAGACCATTCACTGTGCGCCTGGGGACCTCATTTACCATGCTGGAGAAAGTGTGGATGCGCTGTGCTTTGTGGTGTCGGGATCCTTGGAAGTCATCCAAGATGATGAGGTGGTGGCTATTTTAGGTACTGTGAACTTTCCTAATGTAGTAACAAACACGTAACAATTTTAGAGATTTTGCTTCTCAGATTTCTAAACATAAATTTCCTTTGTTTGGTGACTTTGTAAATTAGACCACTAATGAGATGATGAATCTTAATAGAAACTAGTAGTGCTGTCTCAGCAAGGGACATTAGTACTGGTCATAGCTTTAATGGGCTGCGTGGAAGTTTGATTAAATTCAGGCAATAGCAAGAAAGTACTTTGAAACTAAATCTTGAAGGTGCTTTACATTCCCATGTTGGTAAGTGTAAGTTGGTTTTGGAGTGAGCTGGGTTAGAAAACCAGGTAGTTAGTCTCAGAGGACACATACAACCATCTAGTTCAACCATCCAATTCCTTTAGAGAAGAGCCCAGAAATGTTGTGAGACCTGCCAAACTAGTAAGTTATGGCTTGAGTGCAGATCATCTTATTATTGTTCTGCCATATTACACTGGACCTAAGTAATGACAGGAAAGTGCTAAAGAGGTTAGTGGGTCCGACCCATTATATTTGAGTAAGTACAATGTAAGTAAATTAGTTCATAAAGTTGGTTCTCTCCATCCATCTCCACAAGTGAGGAAAATGATCTGACCTATAATGAATTTGTCTTAAAACTCAGAGACCCAGTAGTCAGTTGTATTAAGAACAGCAGCACGAAGGTAATAACAGTGCATACACGTGACAAAATTTTAAAATTTTATGTATTTGGGGATACTGTAAGATTTATGTCTTGGTTAAAAAAAAGTTGCTAAATGAACTTCTAGATCATTTTCTGCTCAAATATCTGCAGCAGGCTCCAGAAATTCATATAGATATAAAAAGAAGCAATAATGAGGTCAGAGGAGACTCATTCCTTGTTTTTCTCACATAAAATAAGTTAGGATTGCAAGATGTCAGCTCCATTTTGATCACATTTTTCATAGCTTATGTTTCATGAAAAATGAGCTCCATCTTTAAACTATTGAATTTTTAGCTACCAAGGTCAGCGTACCATAGCTTGAATGCCACTTATTCTGATAAAGAGTGACTGATGGATTTTAGAAAACTGCAAAAGCAAAACTGGTCTCAAATCCAACACAAAAATGAGAAACTGATTTCAAAAAGCACGATTACTTGCAAAAGACAGTTCAGAATTGAGAAGAAATGACCTTTCATAGGAAAATTGTTTCTGTAAAAATCGTGAGAGATAGAAAATGGGTTGCAGATGGATGGACACCATTGTTTGTAAACCTTTTCTTACTTGTTATAGATAATATTACATTTGCTTTTAAATTCTTCTAGAATCTGTTTTTCTTGTAAATATGTTGACAGGGATAGAGCAATAGCTTTGTGTTGGAACACCTGCCTGACCAACATGAAGCCCTGGGTTCTATACCTGCCACTGAAAAATAAAAGCAAACCAAAGGAAAAAGAAAAGAAAGTATTAGAATCAGGACCGTGGGTATGATTAGCACTAGTTAGAACTTGTTCTGCTCAATTTGCTGGAGTATGGTGAAGTGTATGTGATTCCTCATAAAGGAGTATATGTCACCAGAAGGATCCTATGTGGTAAAATGAAGCATGCCCACACTACAACTATTCTTGTTTGCTTAACGAGGCGGTGAAGGCACAGCCTCAAGAAATATTTTGTTGTCCTAAATATCCCTGTCATTGAGGAGCAGTAGGGAAGCTGACATCACTGCATTACATGGAAGCCGGTGCTGTCACTGTGCACCGCCACAGCTGTAGACTCGTTGCATTGGGTTTACCCTGTTTTCTTATTACAGCTGTACCTTGATAACTTCTTTTTCTAGAAGAGGGTTGAGGAAAGCCCTGAGTAGAGTGCTTCTGAGCTCAGTCTGCTAAAATGGAATCATTTGGTCAGTGAGACAAAATAAATGCATTTTCCTTTCATTTTAAAATAAAATGTGCCCTGGCTTTCCCCAGTGACAGTAAAAATGAACACAGAGGCCCTGGGTATTAGGCCAGTCTCATCATATATCTATCACATTTTATTTCTTTGAGTGTGTGCTTTTTGTTTTCTTTCCTCAAAAATTTTCAGGATTCTGAGACTTTTCATATCTTGACTTTACAAGTTAAATTATATAGGTACCTTCCTGACAATCATCTCTCTTTTATTTTCTTCAAATAGAGCTCTAAGAAAACCTGATTCAGCCAGGAGACAGTTAAATTAGGATTTTTTTTTTTTTTAACATTCAGATTGGGTTAAGAGTGGGTTTCTTAACAATGGGCTAAGAAAGGAGGGAAAAATACTAATTTGCAGTTTTAAATTTGACATTTTAAGGACTGTCTTTTTGTTTCTGGGTTCTCTTTTTCTTCCTCTTCTTATTTTGGGTAGTTTAATTTCGAAACAGTTGCAAGTTTAAGGAAACTTTGCAAAAATACCAGGGGTACACTGTGATCTGTCTCTCTTCAGGTTCTACCTTTATGATAAGCTGTTAAGGTTTTCTTACCTTTACTTACCAGGCCTTGCTATCTCACAGTTATTCATTTGCCAGTTGAAAATAAAGAAGGGAGATAATTTCCAAATTAATTGCATTCTCTGAATCCAAAAGCAAGTGCAGTTTTACTCTTTTGGATCCTTGCCTCCATCCAAGAGCTTGGAAGGTACATAATGCTTTGGTGTGTCAAAAGTGCTCAGGAGTTTAATGAATAAATTCTGAAGTATAACTAATTAATAGAAAGATAAAAAGCATAGTCAACAAATACTTCCTTTTTTAACACTGGAGGATGACTTCAAGATGCTTTTCTAAATAGGGCATATGAATATAATTGTAGCTCGTGTCTTTTATCCATTGAAGTGCTTTCGGTTCTTACACCTCCCACCTTCTTTTGCCTGTCCTACTTTTTATGAAACAAAGAATTCCAAATTAAGTTCATGATGCATACATAATATTTTATATTTTTAATATCTTCTTTTTAGTTTCTACTATATAATTACTTAATGTGAACAGACTTATTGGTATGGTTGAAATAGCCAGGTTACTTCTGAATGCCTTGACAAGTGTATTGTACCTTTCAGAGATGTAAAAATAGCATTTTCCCACTAACAATATGCCATACTCCTAGCACTGTTTTGGTACGCATTCACATTTTGTCTTTTCTGTCTTTATTGATTAGTAGAACCATAAAGTTAGCGCTCGTACACTGACAATCTCTATTTTAAGCCTTTTAGTTATAACTTATAATTTCTAAGAGAGTGGTTCAGTTTAGAAAGTGTTTGTGTAGTATCTGAATAGATGGTAAATACTGTTATAGGCTTGGTTGAAGGACGTGTAACACAGTAAAAAAAAGACAGAAATTAAATGGACATAATAAGAAAGTTTTTAGCACTTACCGCAAATCCTATTTTAATTAGAACTAGCTATTTAAAACCCATAACATTTGTGTATTATCAGAGGAAAATTATAAATGATGGCTCTCAGAATTAAAAATCTGCTTCTTATATTTATTCCAAAAAGAAAAAAAGTTGAGATGCCAATGAATAATATTTTGCTATTTGAAGAATCTGTGAAAATGTGACTTTTATGGAGTGGTTCAATTTTTTCTTGTATAAATTTGCTATTAGGAGTCAAGTGCTTCATGCTTCAAATGATTTAAAGGGCTTTTCCAAAGTTTCAGAAAATCGTTTCCTTCCATGTTCACATTTCTATGTTTTGGATGCTGTGCTGTGAAAATTGTGAATTTGCCCCATATATTATAGAGGTAAGGTTAGTTAATTGGGATTTTTTTAAAATAAAGGGCAAACCAGCTTGCTTTTATTCATGAATGTATACTTGTCTTATTTTAAATGTTCTTTTAACCACCTACCCAGTGTTTATAAATAATTTAGTGCGGCTTCAAAATACATACTTTAAAGGTTTCTCAGCCTTAAGGTATATTTGATAATACACAAGTCTAGAATGCTGGGTAGTTAACTTCTATCTCCCTATAAACCTTTGAAACTAAGTCTTGGTTATTATATTTCCTTGGTGTCTCTTTCTCATATATTTAATATTACTTACCATAACAAGTCTCTTCAAATTTTGATCCTGTCCTTTCTCCACTCCAAATGACCTACGTGTCCACAATCCATCCTTGGCTTTGACTTCCAATTCTATATAATACTGCCACAAAACAATTATGTTAAATATGTCAATTTCCTCATGGTTTCCTACCATGTCTAGAACCTAAGGATGCCATTTTGGCCCTAATCTTTGCCTTCCGGACCAGCTTAATGTGTGCTATTCTCTCCTTACCCTGTACCAGCCATAATGAATTTCAAGAAACTCCATCAGTTCTATTCAGTTCTTTCTTTACTGTTTTTGAATGTACTGCTCCCTGGTTACTTTAATCTTCATTTTAGTTGTGTTTCTCTTGCTTCATCTCGTTCTTTTAGTCTTTCTTTCCTTGTTCTGATTGGCTTAGCTGCCTTCATTCTGTGCTTCCAATATACATGATGATACAGGATTTTAGTGCTGGATTAGCCATCTTTCTCATTGTTGGACATAACACCAACATCTTTAAAGTAAGAAAGGTTTAACTTGGCTCAGAGTTTCAGAGGGTTCAATGTATGGTCATCAGACTCCAAGGCAGAAAACTCATAGTGGAAGGTGGTTCAGTGCTGCTTAGTTCGTAGTGTCCAGGAAGTAGAGCAGAGGGACAGTGCAAGAGAAGGAAAGACAAGGGACCAGACAGATCCCAAGGACGTGCTGGCATGGACCACCCAAATGCACCTAGCAGTATGCTCTAACTATCCTTGTGGTAGATGCAGATAATCAGCTTGACACTCTCACTGGCCACATCCCAGGGCTTGTCAACTTCGTACTCAAACACATCTCCTTAAACCTACTTACCCTTCAAATGAAGACATCAACAAGTTTGTAATTCTGTCTCACAACTATATTTCATACAACTGGAAATGTCAAATTAATTAGTCCATTGTTTTTAGTCTGTTTCCTGAAAGCTCTCAGAGCATGGAGAAAACATATACAAGTTTTCTAC